ATCTCTGAATTCAAGGCTAGCCTGGTTTACAGGGTGAGTTCCAGGACAGCCAAGGTTATGTGGAGAAATCATGTCTTGAGAGAAGGAAGGAAGGAAGGAAGGAATGAAGGAAGGAAGGAAGGAAAGAAGAAAGGAAGAAAGGAGGAGGGAGGAAAAGAAAAGAAAAGAGAAAAGAAGGCATGTCCACTTGATTAGCTGGACATCAAATGGGAGAATGGACAGGAGGCAGGTGACCGCTAGCTAGCTGCTTGGCTGCCCAGTGCTGCCCCAGGACACGGTTGTGCCAAGGAGGGGGCTGAGCAAGGAGGGACAGCCCTCAGCCTATGCTTCAGAAAGCCACCTGACCTCTGTGGGACAGGAACTGAGGCGCGTAGCCAAGAACAGTGAGTATGGGAGAGGGGCCTGTAAGGTGAACAGAGAGTGTCCGAGACCCCAAAGAAGGACCTGGGAAGCTCCCATCATCAGCCTGGAGCTCCGGTCTCAATTCCAAGTGTTCACACTGTGGGCGTGGGGAGGGAACACAGGAAGGCCGCTTACACAACGTCCGTGCTAAGTGCCGGAAAATGTGAGCATACAAGAATGCACATGGGTACGCTGGCGGAGGAGAATGCAAGGCTGCAAGAATTGGAGACTGTGAAACCTCAGAGGTTTTTAACTCCGAATGTATTCCCGGCCCCAACCCCCTGCAACCCTAGGGCACAGTGCTCTCTCCTGAGCCCCGTGGGTACACCAGCAACTTCCTGGGAATTCCCACTTCCCTCTAAATGCTGTTCCACCCCAGGGCTGGGGATGCCGGGCTCCCCCCCCGCTTCTTCATTTTCTGTTCTTCTCAGCTGCCAGCCTCTGAGCCTGTGTCTTCCCTGCTAATCCCAGACCTGGCTTCCCATGATTTCCTGGGCCCTTTTCCTATATGACCCTCCAATCTCACATCCAACCTGTCTCAGCCTCTAAACCAACCAGCCCGTCTGCCCAGCTCATGTCCAGGCAACTCCTGAGTATCAACCCACCTCCCTACCCCTCTCTTCATAGTTCAACTCTGGTCTAATGCTGACTTCAGCCACCTGGATCCCTTGGCAAGCCTCCCTCTGGGATCCTGGTTCAGCAATCATCTCTGGTCCAAAACCTTTCTAAAGCCAGAGCTGTCTGCTGCCTGCATAAAAGCCTCCGTGGCCCCCAGGTTCCTGGTTCAGAGTCAGAGCCAAGCTCCTTTGTTTTGCCAGGTATGGTAGCACAGGCCTATAATCCTAACATTTGGGAGGCTGAGACGGGAGGGTTGCTGGACTTCCGTGAGCTTGAAGCCACATAGCAAGACCCTGTCTCAAAAAAGGCAAACAAGGCCAGCAGTGGTGGCGCACTCCTTTAATCCCAGCACTCGGGAGGCAGAGGCAGCACTTGGGAGCTCGAGGCCAGCCTGGTCTACAAAGCTACACAGAGGAACCCTGTCTCGAAAAACCGTAAAAAAAAAAAAAAAAAAAGAAGCAGAAGGCAAACAAAATGCTTCACTTATACAGAGACATCAGCCTTTCTCAAGCACCATTTCCAAAATGTCCCGTCAGCTTAGAGCAATGGTTCTCACTCCTCCCAGCGCTAAGACGCTTTACCACAGCTCCTCATGCTGAGGTGACCCCCACCATAAAATTCTTTCGTTGCTACTTCATAACTGCAGTTTTGCTACTGTTATAGGTCATAATGTAAACATCAGCCATGCAGGATATCGGGATATACAACTCCTGCGGGAAGTGTCGTTTGACCGCAGAGGGGTCGTGACCCACAGGTCGTGACCCACAGGTTGAGAACCACTGGCTCGGAAGGACTACTAACCTTTCCCAGGAAGTCAAGGCCTGCGGTGCCTTCCAGTAGAGCCTCGTTTACCCTGCACTGGATGGTGAGTCGGGGATGATGAGAAGCTAGGGAAAGAAAACCGCTTCCCTTCCCTTTAACACACACTCTCCTCCTCCTCTTCCTCTCTCCCTTCCCCCCTCCTTTCCGCACACCGCCCCCCCTCACTGTGATTCTCCCGTTGTTCCCACTCCGTCTTCGCGCGCCTGGGCTCACCTCCAACTTTTACTCACCCCTAGATAGACATCAGTCCCTCTTCCCTCCTCTCTCTCCCCCATCTGCCTCTAATCCCGACCCCCACGATTTCGACGTGAGGATGCTATCCAGCCAGTCCGGAACCACCGGTGCTCCGCACATGCCTCGCTGGCTCAGGGAGAGTGATGAGGGGCCAGGGGATGTCTGCCCAACTTCCTCCAGGCTGGGACAGGCAGGAGTCCCAGCCTGCCTAGGTGCCAGGGGGGCTGCCCAGCGGTCCCGAGCCCCTTCCTGGTGTGTGCCCTCGGGGAACCGTGGCCCTCACTCTCTGGATTTCCCACAGGCCGAGTGACCCCTTGGGTATGTAGAAAGCAGGTGGCTGGTGGCTGTGATAGTGGATTGGGCACTGTAGGACCCTGGCCGGTTAGGAGAAGGGACTGTGCCATTGGGTTGGGCAAGCCGGTTCTGAAAACGGACGACCCAAACAAAGTTAACCCATTTCTCCAGCTCTGGTTAGCGGAATGTGTACAACCGCTTCTGCAGGAAAGGGCCCCAGAAACCCACGAAAGTTACATGTGTGGTCCAGGTTCACGCGGCTTGCAAGCCGCATGAGGATTCAAACCTGGCTGGGACGGCCTCCGGATCCACCCAGCTATTCTGGTTCCCTCCTCTGCGCTCCCGGCTCACTCAGACGCAGCAACAGCTGCGTTTGTGGGTTTCTAGGTCCGCCGCTTAATCACAGCTTTCTTGGAAGACGGGGGCGCTGAGAAACCCGACTTCCGGCTGTGTGTGTCGCCACCGCCCGAGGGGCTCCGGATGGCGGCGGTGCCAGTGACAGCACGGGTTAGCCGAGCCCCGGGGGCTGCTGACGAATCCACGTGGGCTCGCCTGCAGGGCCCCGGCGCCGCTGCGCCACCTGCTGGGTGCTCCTGGTGCTGCCTCGGCCGCGGCTCGGCGCCGCGCACTCACAGCTTTCCGCGGGGGAGGGAGGAAGAGGTCTCCTGGGCAGCCAGGACAGTATTCTTACACCTTGAACCCTTCCTTCCAGGACCTGCAGGGGTAAAACCCAGGCGGCCGACCACGTTCCCCCGGCATGTCACTCATCCGGTGGCGCTGACAAGTCCTGTGGCCGTCTGTACGAACAACTGCTGCTCAAGGGTCACTGGGGCCAGCAGAGCCCAGAGAAGGGAAGAGAGCAGACCTGTTGAGGATCAGACCGCCCCCAGACGATATTTTAAAATTCAAGTCATGTCCCTGCCCCACTCAAAATCCTCCAGTGCAATCACCTCACCTGCCAGCAGCAGCACAGCCCTGACAGTGATTTATAAGGTCTTACGCGACAGACTGTGGCTCACCCCCGTCGGTGGAGTCTTGCCTTGGATGTAGAACGCCCCGGGTTTGAGTCCTAGGACTCGCCTACAATCCCAGCACTCTGGGAGCAGAGGCAGAAGCTTCAAGAAGTTCAAAGCGATGTATGAGGGATGCATAAAACCCTGTCTCAAAATCAAGGAAGTAAAATTTAAAATTAAGGCCATGGAGACGGCTCAAAGTTAAAACACCCCGTTGCTAAGTCTGACCACCTGAGTTCGATGCCTCGGGACCCACAGAGTAGGAGAGAATGGGTTCCTATAAGTTGTCTCCCCACAGACAGGTCCACAAGCTTTGAGCCACTTCTCTGGTAACAGAGGCGGTGATGGGTGGTGGTGGTGATGGTGTGTGCACGCCTTCGGACTGCTCACAGGCTTACAAATAGGCCAGGCTTTATGGGCTAATAGTAAGTGATTTTATATATAATGTATGCACATTATAGAATGTATTCCTCGCAGTCACCCTGGAGGCAGGTCTTTTTATTATCCCAGTTTTATAGAGAAGCATATTGAAGGTCGAAGGCGCTAAGTCACTGCCCAGGGCCACACTCGGAGCAGGTGGCTGCTTGTACCCAAAATTCACAGGGACTCTTGGAAAAGAACCACTTTGCATAAGCAGAGCTATGCGCAGACTCAGCGTGCTTGGGCGCTGGCCGTGGTGCTGAATAGAATAGCCGGGTTTCTGTGCTTGATCTTTTCAGACAACCTTGGAATTAAGGGGCTCTTTCTAAATCATGGAGATAAAGTGGAAGGGTGTTTGGGGAGACTCTGGGGTTTCTCAGCATTATCATTGTTTTCTTTTGTTCTGTTTTTGAGATATATTTTCACTAAGCAACACTGTCTGGCTTAGAACTTGGAATGCGGAACAAGCTGACCTTAAACTCACAGAGATCCTCCTTCCTCTGTCTCCCAAATTCTGGGATGAAAGTATTTATTATTATTATTGTTATTATTATCATCAGCATCATTATCATCCTCATTACTATTATCATTATTATTATTATTATTCACTTTGAGCTGGGAGCCCTGACCCAAGCTATGTGATCTCCCATAAGTCACTACACCTCTCTGATTTTCCACTTCCTCCTCTGTAAATGTGGAGAACATCACCAACACACCAGATTCTTTGACATTTTTTTAAATTATCATAATCCTAGTACTTTGGAGGCCAAGGCAGAAAGGTTGTTATGAGTTTAAACCCACCAGGGCTACATACTGAGGTCCAGGCCACAATAACAATACCTCGTACATAGTAAATATTTGATCTTATTACTATTATTTTTTTTGAGACAACATCTCACTATGTAGCTCTGGAATTTGCTTTGTAGACCAGGCTGGCCTTGAACTCACAGCAGTCTGCCTGTCCTTGGCTCTTCAGTTTTTGGGTTAAAGACATGTATCACCATGCCTGGATTATCACCATTTTTAACTGAAAATTCATACAGTTTTTAAGTTGAAAATTCATATTCTCTGGAGGTGGTGGCGTACGCCTTTAGTCCCTGCACTTGGGAGGCAGAGGCAGACAAACATCTGAGTTTGAGGACAGCCTGGTCTTGAAAAAATGAAAAAAGGAAAAGAAAGAAAGAAAACTCATATTCTATACCTACCTGGCAGGGACGATACCATGGATACCATGATCATGGAGGTGGTTTTCCCAGGGCGAGGTTCATCCACTGCTCTCAGGGCATGCTGGCTGCTGCTATTCCCCCAAATTCAGGAAACTTGACTACATAATTTGTGTTAACGGGGACTGCATTCTCGCTCTGCCTCTTTAAAAAAACAAAAAACAAAAAGAGAATTCATATTCTGCTCAGTTTCTGCTTCTCTGCCTCCTCTCAAATCATCTCCAGTCACCACTTTATGTGGAGGGAAACTGAGTCATGAAAAGGCAACATGTCTTAAGTCACAGCGAAAAACTGTCAGAGCTGGAGAGATGGCTCAACAGTTAAGAGTCCATGCTGCTTTTCCAGAGGCCTTGGGTTTGAATCTCAGCACCTATATAGTGGCTTACAACTGCAGTTCACTGCTTTCATGTTACATACTTGTAATGAAAAATAATCTTTAAAAAATAACAATTATCTGGATGGTGGTGGTGCATGCCCTTAATCCCAGAGGCAGGTGGATTTCTGTGAGTTCAGGACCAGCCTGGTCTACAGAATGCATTCTAGGACACTCAAGGCAACACAGAGAACCCTGTCTTGAAAAAACAAAGGGGCAGGGGGGGGACCGAAGAAATAAACAAGAAATAGAACTGAAATGTGTACGTTGGGAGCCTGACAGAAAAGCTCACACCTTTTACAGCACTTGGGAGGCTAAGGCAGCTGGATGGCTGAGTGTGAAATCAGCCTGGGCTACACACCTTATCTGAAACAAACAAGCAACAACAAAATCCTGTATATCCAAAGTGTTGGACCCCAGCCCCCACGGGGTCTCTGTGAGTCACTGGTCAGTCAACAAGTCCCTCCTGCTTTCCAGTCTAAGTCCACCCTGTTTTCTAGTCATGGCTTCCTGCACTGTCCTTGACCCTCTGACATCAACATCCAGCAGGAGGAAAACATGCTGTCTTCCACCTGGGTTTTTTCCCACTGTGCTGTAAACCTGTATATAAGGCTCCTCCCTCCCTACAAGAGAGAGACCTCTTAGCACTTGCAATAAAGACTCTCTCTCTCTCTCTCCTGACAATAAAGGCAGCACGTGTATTCTCTTAGTACAAACAGCTGGATGTCTTGTCTTTCTTTCCCTGATACCTCAGAGTTGTTTGTGGTGCAGGCACCGCACCAAAGGCCCTGATTCTTATGTGGGCACCCCACCCCACCCCACCCCACCCCCACACAAAGCCTTCTTGCTTTAGCCATCCATCATGATGAATAGTATCAATTTTGAAAAATGAAATGTCAATTTTGATACTAAGTACTATAAAGTTATGTGCAGATTGTACTGAAACTGTGATTCCTTTGTGACGACAAATAATTTTTTTATACTAAGATTTATACCTCAGAAATTTTTTGTGACAAGGTCTGGCCATGTAACCCTGCATGGCCTGGAACTCTCTATGTAGACCAGGCTGGCCTTGAACTCACAGAGATACTCCTGCTTTTTCCTCCTGGGTGCTGGGATTAAAGGCATACGCCACCATGCCCAGCTCAACAGTTGTTTGTTCACTTGTTTGTTTGTTTGTTTGTTTGTTTTTTGCAGTTGGCTCAAGTTAGACCCATCCTAAGTATTGGAGATGCCAAAATGCCGTATTGCATCTTGATACAAAATACACAAACCTATCCAGGCCTGGTTCCACATGCCTGAGATCCCAGAAGACCTCATCCCAAAAGAGCAAGAACCAGGGGTAAAGAAGTGGCCGAGAATTCACTCACGGGGAGGAGCTGAGGCGCAGCTCAGCAGCAAATCATTTGCCTGGCACGTGTGAGGCCCTGGGCACTGCCACCATTAAGAAGGAGGAAGGGAAAGGGAGGGAGATCAGTTAACAGAACAAGCAAGATTACCAGTAGCCATGAAAAATGAATGCCTCTCGCTGGAAAGCACTGGATGCATGCACTCACACCCTCATTGCTGTGCACACCCATGCACACGTGCACACGCACACTCACGTGCCCATGGGCTCATTCTCACACACATACACACACATGCTCAGATGCACATGCGCTCACACCCTCACACACACATGCACACTTGAAAGCACACTCATGCACATATTGAACACACACACGAGTGCACACACACGTACACGCACATACGCACGCACAGACGTGAAAGGATGCTTCATGTGGCAAACTAAGTCCTCACAAGGATACGCTGTGTTTTGAGCTGCTTGGCCCCGGGGACTTGGGCAGGGTCGCGTGCTCAACTTGCAGGAGAAAGTCCTTTCCTTCCACCATGTAGGTCCCCAGGGTTCAAATTCAGGGGTCAGACTTGGCAGCACAGGCCTCTACCCCCATGAGCCATCTTGCAGCTGTCTTCCTGTGAAGCTGGTGCTCTCCGGATGACTGCTGCCCTTTTCCCCAGCCAGGCTGTGCTGACCACAGCTCTACTGCTCCTCTGCCCTGGCCTTCTCTTTCTGCTGATGCAGACAGACCTACTTCATTCACTGCTGATAGCCCATGCTGGCTTCTGGACGCTGAGGATCCAGTGCCAGGGAGCCTGGGAGCCCAGATACAGAGGCAGGTCAGAGATGAGGCCCGGTACCAGGATCCAACTCTGCCTGTGCTTTCTCCACCCAAGCTCCGTGGATTCTGATTGGGGGAAATTGAACCCTTTCCTGAGATCCCACCCCTCTCCTGGTGATGCTACCTAGTCCCCAGTCTCCTGTTCGTCACTTTATACAGCACAAGCCTAAATGTGTGCTCATAATCCAGACCATTTGGGCACATGACCGCTTTTAAGATGGGGTGTGTGTGTTCGTGTATGCTGATTCTTTGGGACAGTCTCATGATGTAGCTCAGTCTGGTCTTGAACTTGAAGATCTTCCTGTCTCAGCCTCTAAAGAAATGGGATTACAGGCTTTCATCCTGTAAAGTCCACCCAGGTTTCAAGATGACATATCCGAAGGACTCCAGCACAGTACAAAACCATGGCGAAAGACACCTGAATCGGAGCCAGGGCTTGCAGCTGTGACCACAGATGGATCTTCACCTGAAACCGTGGCCATGACTCATCCACAGTTTGTACGAGTGACTGCAGGAACTCCGGCTGATTTAGCATCAGCAACCAGGTCCAAAACCAAGCCAAACAGCCTGGACAGTCACATTAAGAGGGAGAAAGTAAGCCTACAAGAGGAGGCAGAGGCAGGCAGAGCTCTGAGTTTCGGGCCAGCCTGGTCTACAGAGTGAGTGCCGGCACAGCCAAGGCTGCACAGAGAAACCCTGCCTCAAAAGCAAACAAACAAACCGAAAACGGAGGAAGGGCTCCATGTGAGTTCCGGTCAGTTGTGTCACCACGGAAGGGTTTATCTGTGTGCATGTGTGTGCTAACGCACGTGTGTGTAGGCCACAGAATAATGTCACTTTCTCAGTCACTTTCCACATTATTTCTTCCTGAGTCAGGGTGTCTCCCTGAACCTGAAGTCCACTGATTAGCTAGGCTGTCTGGCCGGTGAACCCCAAGATCTCTCTCACCTCAGGCACTAGGGCTACAAGTGCGTGCCACCACACTGGGCTTGACCCAGAGGGTGGGACTGAACTTTGGCCGTCGTGCCTTCACAGCAGTCTCTTTGCTGACGGAGCCACTTCCCAGGCCTATGATGGAGTGTGCGGTTTTTTGTTTTTGTTTTGTTTTATTTTGTTTGTTTGTTGTTTTTGAGGCAGGGACTCACTGTGTAGCCCTGGCTGGCCTGGAACTCACTCTATAGCTCAGGCTGGTCTTGAACTCACAGAGATCTGTCTGCCTCTGCCTCCCAAGTGCTGGGATTAAAGGCGTGCACCACTACACAGGTTAATTAACATTTTTATTTTATGTATATGGGTGCTGGGTTTGCCTGTACGATGGTGTACCACAACCATGCTCTGCCCCTGGAGGCTGCCACGTGGGTGTTGAGAAGCAAACCGTGGTCTTCTAGAAGAGCAGTCAGTGCTTGGCCCCTAGACCGTCTCTCGGGCTGTGCACTTGAGTTTGAACATGTACTGGAGGGGGTTAGGGTGTCAATTTGACACAAGCTAAAGTTATCACAGAGGAAGGAGCCTCAGTTGAAGAAACGCCTCCTTAAGATCCAGCTGTAAGGCATTTTCTCATTTAACGATCAATAAGGGAGAGCCCAGCCCATGGTGGGTGATGTCATCCCTGGGCTACTAGTCCTTAGTGCTATAAGAAAGCAGGATGAGTAAGCCATGGGAAGCAAGCCATGAGCAGCTCCCCTCCGTGGCCTCTGCATCAGCTCCTGCCTCCAGGTTCCTGCCGCGTTTGAGTTCCTGTCCTGACTTCCTTCAGTGATGAACAGCAATGCTGAAGTGTAAACCAAATAAACCCTTTCCTCCCCAGCTTGCTTTTTGGTCATGGGGTTCCGTCTCAGCGATAGAAACCCTAACTAAGACAGACGTCAAATCCACAGAGCATCCTTCATCTTCAGATCATTTCTTACTTTTAGGATTTGTAGACAAGGGAGTGTGGGGTTTTTGAAGGGATCTGGGGTTTGTTGGCCAGCTGTTCGTTATTGGTGTTGGTTTTGGTTCTTTGGTTTGTTTTGAGAGTCTCACTCTAGCCCAGGCTAGTCCAGAACTCTGCAACTCACTGTGTAGTCCATCCTCAAGCTCAGGGCAGTCACGCCTCAGGCTCCCAGTGCTGGATTACAGTGCGATGCATGCCCACTGGGGTAGACGCTCTTAAACGCCTGCCTCCTCGAGTTCCTCTGGGAGGGGTGCGCTTAACACATGGAAAGCACTTGGAGCAGAGCCCAGCTCCGGTGACGTGGCCTAAGAGGAATGATCACTGTGCCGACTGTCCCTATCACGGGGCTCTGAGCTTTGAATTCTATAACCACATGTAGCCACTGGAATGTCCCTAATTTCTCCTCAGGGAAGATTTAGAAGTATTCTGGTTGTAAAGTTCTTTACCTTACATATGTGTACATAGTCGTTTTTTAAGCCCTTATTAATTGTACAAGCTAATGGGTTTTATCAAGACATTTCATACACGTATATAATATATTGATCATCTTTGATCCCCTATTACCACATCCTGCTCCCCTCCCCCGGATCCCCTTGCTCTACCTCAAATCCCCCACTTCTATTTTGGTGCATTATCTCTATTGTTTTCATTAGTTATTAT